GACTTCTGTTTTATTGGTCTCTGATTAACATTATGATCCTTTTCAAAAAGGTCCCTGTCTTAATCTTCATTAAATGTGATTAAAGTGAATGCCAATATCAAATCTACTAAAATTCACACGTAATCACAATGAGAAAAGCTTAAGGAAAATGTTCCATATTACACTCTTACATACTGATAGCAAGACATAAAAACAAATGTGCCTCTATTGTATCCCTAGCCATAAATATTGAGAATTTAAGTCTCCATTCCTACGAAAGATGACAGTTCTATGACCACAGTAGCAAGTACGGGTTGTTTTACTTTTCCAGACAGGGTCCTGCTAAGTTGCCATCCTCCTGACTAGGTCTCCCAAGCGGCTGGGACCACAAGTGACACCACTATGCCCAACTTGTAGTGTGGGCCAGGAATTGCACCAGGGCCTCCCACGTGTCTGCTTCCTCAGCTACACCAAAACTGGTCTTAAAGCTGATTGATCAATGACTGGTTTCAGTAAACTTGATTTTGAAAACCACCACTCAGTGACAGAGGCTTCTTTGAAGTGGCTAAAGTAGAAGCCATTCCACTGAACAGACTTCTAGGGCTGACTTGAACTGACCTAGACTCTGGAATCCATACCACCCTCCAAAAATTCTTCTCAAAAAACTCTATCTAAGGTCATCTGTTTGTTTTGCTCAAGGAGCCTCGGCTTTACTTCATTACTAAAATAGTTCTTTGCTACTTTAAATATTGAACTGTGGTTTCATTCTTTGATAATAAGATCTCTTATCTCAAGTTAGCAAAGGAAGTCTATATCAGGGGCTGGACTCCGTCATGAATAAGATCGTGGTTCAAATCCCAGACCTGGTGGCGTGGCTTGCTTTCTTACTGTCCTTCTCTTTCTTTCTTTCTCTGGTCAAAATAAAATTAAAAAAATAATAATAAATAAGTAATTCTTAAAAAAAAAAAAAGAAGTCTATATCAGCAGACTGCTGGATTACATATGGTTTATATGGAATTTTCAATTACAAAATTCCATAATTTATTATCAGGTTATTTAAATTAGAGTTAATAATTAAGTCATAAATAAAATGTTATGAAGTCTAGGTTTTGAAAGAAATATTTCACCTTCTATAAACTGCTGCTCTTTCTTTAGAAAGAAAACTGGCTCAGCAACATTCACTAAGTACCTATTGTATCTCAGACACTGCTCAGTAAATCTTTATGGAATAAAACAAACTTGAGACCCTTGATAAAAACCCATAGCTACTGGGACCAGCAGTTAGCGTAATGGCTATGTTGCTGGATTCCTACGTAGTCGACCACGGTTCACGTCCTGGACCTGGTGGCTTAAAACTCACGCCGGGTGCGTGTGTGTACGTGCCCAATATCCTGAGAGGAGAATGGAGGAGAAGGGATCGCGGCGTGGCCGTCCCCCCTGGGGGGATGATTTCTCGCTTTCTGTCTCTGTGTCTCTCTCTGTCTGTCTGGTGAGCGCATGCGCCCTATAGCAAAAACCTCTAAATAAACAAATAAAAAACAAACAAAAAACCCATAGCTACTCAAGCTGGCCATCATGAAGTTCCCTAGATTTAGATTTTTAGTAACTTAGAAGAAAAAAAGAGATTTCCTTAGCTATGTACAAAATTTTACTGGAAATAAAAAATACAATTTTCAGTGAGGGTATGCAGCCTGGCAGTATGAAGCAGTTATCTGCATGTCTTGTTAATTACTCTCTAGAGCTGGCTGAAACATGCCTTAGATGTCAGGGGCTCTGTGGAAATAACCACATAGGACACAGGGAACATCCTGACCGTGGCTAGGTCATGCGATGCCTGTTCTATATGCCTGTTTATGGCCCACACATTATCCTCTTTGATGCATACTCAGATAGCCTAACTCGGAGTTGCAGAGGAACAGCGTTAAGTAAACTAGATTGACCATGCATAACAGGATCACACATGATAGTAACAAGGTCGAAAAAGATAGACACTAACGCCCTTATCTCTAACTGTAGAACTCAACTGCAACCTTGAAAGCTTGCAAACAGTTCACTGTGCCTGGTCAAATGTATAAATAAAGATGCTCAGCATGACCGAGCAGCACAGCTTGTCTGTGCTCACCTACGTCTTTGCTTCTGCATCTTCCTTCTTTTCTCTCTTTCCTTCATAGGACCAAGCCCCAAGGGCAGACACTGACAGTATTACCATCCAGAGAGATGTTACTCATAAGCTTGCCGGCAGACACCGATGATTTTCTGTGCCTCTATCTAAATTATATCAAATCTGTTTCTGGTCTGTCTGTCTTTTTCTTTTCTTTTTTTTTTTTTTAATTTGCCAGATGGCACATGTGCTTGCTGGAGAGACAGACAGACAGAGAAGGAAAGTGAGAAAGCACCCCACCATGGGGAATGGTCATGCCCAATGCCTTCTCTTCCATCTCTCCCTCCTCTCAGGATTTTGGGCATGCATGCATGCACGTCAAGCATGTTTCTCAAGCTACTGGGTCTCACCACGCCACAGGCTGGGCCTGTTTTCTTTTTTTATTGTGATAAATAAAATGTGTCATCATAATATTTTTTATGCCAGAGAAAGAGAGAGAGAGAGTGCTCCCCAGTAGGGCCTGATCATGCTGGAATCCCCTTTTCTCCATTCCTTCTTCCTGCCAGCTTTCTGGGCATGCTTCCTGTCTTGTTTCAAACTATGGTTTGGCCATGTGAGATCTGGCTTCCCGCACACAGCCTTAACTACTGCGCTATGGGCCAGCCCCATCTTAACCATTTCTTTTTTTTTAGAGGTTTTTGCTATAGGGCGTGTGCGCTCACCAGAGAGAGACAGAGAGATAGAAAGCGAGAAATCACCCCCCAGGGAGGATGGCTACGCCGCAATCCCTTCTCCTCCATTCTCCTCTTGGGATCTTGGGCATGCACGCACATGCGCCCGGAGTGAGTTTAAGCTTCCGGGTCCGGGACTCAAACCGCGGTAGACTACGTGGGAGTCCAGCGACATAGCCATTACGCTAACTGCTGGTCCCCCATCTTAACCATTTCTAAGTTCCAATTCGGAAGCATTTATATCCACTATGCTAGGCACCCATCAAGTTATTTCAAAGTCCTTTCCTCACTACAAACAGCAACTCCACCCATCCAGCATAGCACTGAGTCCACCCTTCCACTTCCCAGCACCTGGGACCCACTAATCTACTTTGTGTCTATGAACCTGCCTTTAGCTATTTCATGTAAATGGAGCCACACAGCATTTATCCTGTTGTGTCTGGCTTTTGTCACTAGCATCATGTTTTAAAAGTTTATCCACACTGAAGCATGTCCAGACCGCATTCTTATCTATAGTGGAGTCTATTGTACGGATATGCCATATTTAGTTTATCTGTTTGTCTGCTAATAGATACTTGAGTTATTTCTGCCTACAGCTATGGGGAATAATGATGCCATGAACATCTGTGCACAAGTTATCTGTTGGAATCTCTGTTTTCAATTCTTTTGGGTACATGCCTAGGAGTAGAATTGCTGGGTTATGGGGCAATTCTACATTTAACTTAAAAAATGTTTATGATGTGACCAGCAGATGGCGTAATAGTTATGTCACTCGACTCTCACAGTTCGAGTTCTGGGCCTGGCAGCTTAAAACTCACACCAGGCATGTGTGTGTGTGTGCCCAAGATCCCAAGAGGAGAATGGAGGAAAAGGGACTGTGGTTTAGCCATCCCTCCCAGGGAGTGATTTCTCATTTTCTGTCTCTCTGTCTCTGGCAAGCACATGCACCCTATAGCAAAAATCTTTTTAAAAAATTTCTGATCATTTCTGATTTACATATGATTATTATATATATCTACCAGGTATGGAGCGGTTTTTCAAGACAAGTATACAGTGTGCACTGATCAAATCAAGGATACAAACACATTCAACATTTCCAGCATCTGTCATTACAGTATGTTGGACACATCTAAAATCTGCTCTACTCAGTGTTCTTTTGGGAAAAATGTATACTAAATGTCACCAACGTTCCTTATTGTGGTACACTGTTCTATAACCTACTGTCCTTGTTTATATGCACTGCTGTGTCTTTACCAAACTGATGTTTACTTTCTGGGGAAATGCCAAATTGTTTTCCACAGTGTACCATTTTACGTTCCCACCAGCAGTGTATGAAGGTTCCAATTTTTCCCCATCCTCACCAACACTTGTTTGTAAACTGTAGCCATCCTGGTAGGTATAAAGTAGTATCTCATTGTGGTTCTGATTTGCATATTCTTAAAGACCAATAATGGGGACCAGCAGTTGGCATAATGGCTATGTCACTGGACTGCCATGTAGTTGACCACAGTTCGAGTCCCGGATCCGGTGGCCTAAACTCCTGCCAGGCATGTGTGCATGTGTGCCCAAGATCCTGAAAGGAGAATGGAGGAGAAGGGATTGTGGTATGTCCATCCCCAGGGGGTGATTTCTTGCTTTCTGTCTCTCTATGTCGCTCTGTCTTTCCGGCGAGCACATATGCCCTATAGCAAAAACCTCTCCAAAAAAAAAAAGACCGATAATGTCACCTTCTTATATGCTCATTGGTCATCTGTATAACTCCATGCAGAAATGTCCATTTGAGTCCTTTGCCCTTTTTAAAAATTGGATTGTCTTTTTGTTATTAAGCTATATTTCTTTTCCTCTTAAAACACTTAAGTGCTATTAGCAGGGTAAATGACTATAGCCCTTTTGGAGAATCAATTATTTCTATTTTATGACCTAATAATACCAATTCTGGGAATCAACCCAAAGGAAATTATTACACATATTTGTATGTGAAGATGTTATAACATTGCTACTTTTCATAGGTAAAATCAAAAACAACCTAATCCTTCGATAATAGATTAAATGATAATGAAATAAATGAAAAAGTAGAGGGAAATACGCTAAAATATTCATATGTGCTTGGTTCTCCCCTCTTGACTTTTCAAAATGTTACTTCACGTTATTATAGTTAAGTCTGCATTTCCTTTGTATAAGAAAAACACACTAAGTTTGAACAGATTTAGAACTGGTTATTTTTGTTAAACCAATCTGTAATCTGAATCCAGTCTAGTAGGCCTGATTTTAATAATAGGAGATTAGTGACTTAGTTTTCAGTAGAGATGATGATGGCGGCCTGTAAACATGATGGCTGGGAATGGGGACTATCGGGTCTGACTGCCCGGGTTCAAGGTGCCCACCCTGTCAGAAACCTACCTTCGGGTGACTTACGATCTCCAAGCACAGTCTCCTTGTCTTTAAACAGGGGACAATAAGGCCCTTGTGACAATAAGAATCATTGTGAGGATTAAATGACCTGATAAAGGCAAAATACTGAGAATGGCGCCTGAAAGTGCTCAGCGCATAGAAAGTCCATGGAAAATGCTCAGTCGGTTTTAGCCATGGGCAATAAGGATGAGGACAGAACCCAACTCTTGGGCTCTAAATCCAGGCACTGTGTTCTAAGTGTTGACATACTCACAAAAACCCTAGGACATATAAGTGACTTTCAACAGCAGAAGATCTGCTTCCTTCTAACAAAATCCAGTCCATAATGACATCTAAGATTTAACCATCCAAATTTTCCTATAAGAAGGTTTACATATAAATGCTTGAATTACACATTTTATGTTCTAGACCTGATTGTTTCACACTTCCTTGACTTCAAGTAGAGAAATCTAGAATTGTGATCTATTGCAAAGGCACAAAGACATCAGGAGAATAAACAATAACCTATTCTTGGTTTCATTTTTTAATAATTATTTACTTACTTATGAGAGTAGCTACAACTTCAAAACAGATGAGTTGGTTGTTCTGGAATAATTTTACAAATGGAAACGCCAAGAGTGGGAGATATGGTGTGTCGCTAAAGATGACAGACCAGTGCGCTAATGCAGATAAGGTTCTGTGAATAAAATAAAGAAATGAAGCCCAGAGAACAATAACTTACTATTAAAATTTATTTGAATAAATGATACACTCACACAAAAATTCAACACAGAAGGTGTATTTGGTACAAATTCTCTGTTTTACTCCTGTTATCTAGTTCATGTCTCCAGAAATTACCATTGTTAAAACTATGAATTCTTGGGGCCAGCAGGTGGCACAGTGGTTAAGGTGCTAGACACTCCCACAGGGCTGACCACAGTTTGAGTCCCGGACCTGGTGGCTTGCTTTCTCACTTTTCCTCTCTCTCTGTATCTCTCTTTGGTCAAGTTAAAATAAATAAAATTAAATAGTTCTTTAAAACAAACAAACAAACAAAAACCTATGAATTATTATTGCCAGCAGTGGCATGGTGGCTAAGGTGCTGGATTCCCACATGGCCAACTATAGTTCAAGCCATGGACCTGATGGCTTGAAAATCACGCTGGGGAGCTTTGGCAGCAGATAGTAAAATTAGAAAATCATGCCAAATATGTGCATGTGCATTCTCAAAATTCTGAGAGGAGAATGGAGGAGAAGGGATTGTGGGTGGCCATACCCCCTGGGGGGGGGCAGTGATTTCTCACTTTCCCTCTCTCTGTTTCTCTGTCTCTCTCTGTATCTCTCCTCGGTGAGCACATATACCCTAATGGCAAAAGCCTAAAATATAACAACAACAAAAACCTATGAACTCTCTTTTTCCCTTCAGTGTACTAGAAGGGTATATGCACTTGCAGGAGAGAGACAGAGAGAGTGAAAGAGGGCAAAGGAGAAAGCATACTCCCACAGAGGATGGTCATGCACACACAGGCACTGGCCTGTTTCTCAAGCTGCCAGATCTGGGACTTGAACCACGTGGCTGGCCATCGGGGATCCAGCCACCTCAACTACTATGCCACGGACTGGCATGAAAGTATAAATCTTTTTTAAAAAAATAATAAATTACAGTATATTATACACACTGCTCTGTACCTTGAGTATTCAATTCCTACTATCTTGGAAATAGTCTGTAAGAGTACCTGCAGAGCCTCCTCATGATGTTTTATAGACACGCATGATAACCTTGGCGTGGACACACCTTCATGTCTGACATGACCCTTATTTCTGGGCATTTAAGTTGTTTCCCATTTTTTATGAACAATGCTGCACATAACATCACTGTATGTACATCATTCTTTTTTTTTTGGAGAGGTTTTTGCTATAGAGCATGCGTGCTTGCCAGACAGAAAGAGAGAAAGCGAGAAATCACTCCCTGGGGGGATGGCCACGCCACAATCCCTTCTCCTCCATTCTCCTCTCGGGATCTTGGGCACGCACGCATGCACATGCGCCCAGCGTGAGGTAAAGCCACCGGGTCCGGGACTCGAACCGCGGTCAACTGTGTGAGAGTCCAGCGACATAGCCATTACGCTAACTGCTGGTACCAAGAGAGGTTAAACATTTTCCCACATGGCCGATTACTGGTTCAAGTCCCGGACCTGGCAGTTTAAAAACCATGCTGGGCATGTGTATGTGCTTGCCCCAGATCCTGCTAGAATAGAGCGGAAGGGATTGCAGAAAGATGAATAACCCCCTCAGGGGGTAATTTCTCACTTTCCATCCCACCTCTGGGGAGCACATGTGATCTATAGCAAAAACTTAAAAACAAACAAAAAAAAAATCTGTGAAAGAGATTTTCATCTAATTTCCTCAATAATCTTATAATGTTGGTTTTATTATTTCTAATTTTAGATATAATTGAGGCTTATTCTTCTCATACATGGCCTAAGTTAAACCCATGAAGATGTTCCACTATTCATTTGACCCAGAAGATCTTAAAAAACCATGCAAATCAAGAGATTCAAGTTTTTCTGTTTTCTTTAAGAACACTTGTGAGTGGCCAGCAGGTGGTGTTCTGACTAAGGTGCTGGACATTCCCACATGGCTGACCACAGTTCGAGTCCTGGACCTGGTGGCTTGCTTTCTCACTTTCTCTCTTTCTCTGGTCAAATTAAATGAATGAATAAATAAAAATTAAATAATTCTTTTTTTAAAAAAAGAAAATACACACACACACACACACACACACGGATGGACTAGGGGTCTCTTTATTAGACACTCCC